ATGCTGCACTTTTATTATCGATGCATCCACCTTAGGGGCTGTGATCCAGAATTTAGTATCAGTGTTTTTGTAGGTTTGTCCATTCTGATTCTATAAAATCCTTAAAGGTGGAATGTATAGGAAAAGTGTTTCTATTCTATTAAAAATATATTTTAGAATCTTTAGCCACTCCATGATCTTCTGGAATTCTCAGAGTGTCTCTTATTAGAGAAATTAGTGAGTCAATGGATTTTACTTCTATGGATAATCCATGATGTCTTCATCTTTTCATGAATTAGAGTAGTCTGGGATCTGAAAATCAAACAGAGCTTGATAAATCTTTATTTTTGTTTTTTTAGGTTCTTTAGAGGAATGACTCTTGCAAATCGCCTCTTTAATCCCAGCAGCCATAGCCTTAAAAAATTACCTCCGTCAGGTTAGGGTTAATGGAGTCAGCAGATGTAGATGCTCCTTCACTTGCTGTAATTACAGTCTATGCAGAAGTTTTTTTCCCTTCCATAGCATCAGATGGGCAGGCATTACATTTCTTGGATTTCCTATTATACATAGAAGTTTTTCTATTAGGCTGTCTCGGGCTGCAATATATATACAAATATGTAGCATCAGGATTGTATATATAATATAAGGGCCACCTATTCATTGGTATAGCCATTTGGCAGTCTTTTATAATATAAATAAGAAGCTCACCTTACACATTTATATCTGCTCCTTGAGGCAGAGGAAGAGGAAGCCATGCTCACCAAAGGCTACTAAGCAAGTTAACTACATTATATAAACTTTTATATGTCAAAACCCCCAAAACTTAACATAAGAATGTTCCATATATGAATTAAGTGATTCCTTTACCTTTATAAAGATGAATAAGCTTGAAACCAACACTTGAAAGTAGAGAATTCACCAAATAATACAATCCAGAAGGAATATTCACCTTAAATATCCTTGCAAGTGAACTGCCTTAAATACACGGTTCGAGTCCTTCAGGAACGTGTGGGAACAGCGTTCCTGCACTTTTTACACAGCAGGAACGCCATTCCCGTTAGTTGTCCTGTAGGACGTGCCCTTTGTGCACAACAATGAATTTGCAATGGCATTAGTTTAACGTTAAAAACCCAACAAACAGTGATATATATTATTCATACACTGCACTATGTAAACCAGGCAGGACTAATGCAGAGCCATTACTGTGCTACACTAAGCACCGCCCACAATTTTTATTTGCCATCCACCTGCCAACAAGCCTCTTCGACTACATGCAATCACTGTTTGTTTCTTAGTAAGTATTAGTGGCGAAGCTCATGACTGATGATCTGCAATTGGCTGAATATTGCAAAAGGTGTTCTGAGCATGATAATTCTTTCCCTGCTGGGTGAGGAGTGGAGGAGGCGTGGATGCAGCCCGGAGGAGAGGAGTCATTTTCTGGAGCTTGAGATAGTTGGAGTTGAAATGCTGATATAGGTAGTAATGAGGGGCTCAGGGAGACATATTCTGCATGAGGGAATGACATACCTTAATACCAGAGCAATGTGAGCTGGGCTGCTGCAGGTGGACATCATTTCATTATTTTTCATTTTTGGGACAGTTATCTGGGACTTGTGACACTTCATATAGTTCTCATGATGTTAAATGAGCCCCTGGATGGTTTAGCATTGTGGGGGGGACACTTCACAATATATGGAGCACCAGGGGTTAACCAGCATTAGTCTGGGGACATAGGGCAAATAGTGTCTGAAACTGGTGATTGATGCATCCAAATGGTTAATAAAAAAACAGAGAAGTTAGAGAAAAGTGAACTGCAACTAATAATCAGTGCATTGAAATTGTCTTCAGAAAAGTTATTTTAATTAGAGAGCTATGAGGTGAGTGTACTATTCTCTAGTATTGAGATGGAAGTGACTGAATGAGAAGTTGAATAATTAGGAGTTTATTTTTCAAACACTGACTTGTAATGAATTAGAATCTGAAATATTGAAGCTTAAATTGTTGATCTGAAAAAAAATAAATTAAAAAAAATCCAACTGGTGTATCCAAATTTTCAGTTTGCTATTATTCAGAGTCTAGCAGGAACGCATGGGGACGAGGTTAGGCAGCGGCGCTTCTACCCAATTTCTTATGGGAGGCCATCATCTCGCTGCCTTTGGCCCGGGAAGTTATGCTGCCGGCAGAGCATGCTTGGTATAATTTTTTTTGGGGGGGGGGGTTGGGGGATGGATCTTGGGTGAGTTCCCACACTTTTTTCCCCAAGACTTGACCACTGCTTAAATACCTTACTGTCCCTTTAAGACCAATTGCCCATGCGTGATGAGAACTGATGAGACACCCATCGCCATCTTGGATTTTGCTGATCAAACATACAAACCTGCAGGTTGGCAAATTTGCACTAAAAAATAAGTCAAAACACAAATCAAGTACAGATGCACCTAATGGATCCTCCAGAGGACTCTAAGGCAGGAAAAAAAAGATTATAAATTAATTACAAACCTGAAACCCGATCATGGATGCTATCTTGGAAAACCCAAACCAGTACACAAAAACTTAAGGTGACCAGGTTTTCTTTCCACCTCAATTTGAAATTTAAAAGTTATGTAACTTAGAACAGTATTGTCCAATCTTCAATTAATATGAACTAACATAGTAATCTTAACCCACGGAATCCCAAACAGCTTGGACTGTATCTGTCTTCTTCCTTGGGGAGAGAGACTCAACTACCCAAGGATTCCATAATGAAAAACTAATGACAGGTGAACTTTAAGACATTTTTTTTTTTTTTTATTGCAAACAACTGAACAGCGTGAGGACAGGATTTAATTTCATCTAATTCTTTTTTTTATCTTTTCAAATATATTTTATTAAAGCTACAGTTTTTTTTCCTTCCTTTCTTTTTTCTTTTTTTGTCAACATGGATCACACATATACACTTTTATTAGTGGACTGAACATTGAGATATACATTTTGTCTTGTTCTTTTGTTATCCAATGACAGTTTATGCATATATTGCTGCTCACTACACTCAGGGGGTGGATCCATTGTGATTATCTTGTGTTGATATTCAAATGTTATATATGAACAGATTTATCTCCACATAACGGTTTTTGTGTACCTTATCAAATAGGCATGGGATCATGTGATCTATGGGCTTCATACATATGGTAGCCTCCCTCGGACTCCCCACCCTCTACATAGGAATGGAGTAAGATATATCTCTTTCTTTGAACAACATTCAAAAATATATTAAAATAAAAATTTGCATTAACTTGAGTGTGGCATATTTTGTGTTAATCAATTATAAAGATCACTTCAATCCACTGAAGTGGTCTGGGTGCAATGCCCCTGTCCTTCTTAGTCCTGCAATGTGAAACATTACAGTTTTAGAGAAACTGCAATGATTACATTGCAGTAATTAAACTGCCTCTAGTGGTTGTCAATCAGACAGCCATTAGAAGCACTTTCTGCTTTTTAGGCAACTTTTGGTCACCTGACTGTTGCTGGATGTCCTCACTTGCTGTATGAGGAACAGCCAGCATCAGTAAAATACCCATAGGAAAGCATTGCAACAATGCCTCCCTCCTATGTTAGGTCATGTCAGAGTAGGTTGGGTGCCGACCCACTGCTGAGGGACAACCCCCTTACAGTGACAGGGGCAAGGGATGGTGTGGGTTGAGGGGCAGAGGGAAGTATAGTTTAATGAATACAGCTTGGTATTCCTTACACTATGGAATCCCTTTAAATGTGTTGCCTCCACTAACAAGAAGTAAATTGTATACTCTCAGTTATTCAAATGTATTCTATGTAATGTGGTTTAATTCAACACATTCCATAATTATATTGTCCGTGTAATTTCCTCAGTTGTTTATCCTGCAATGTGAAGATCGATGTAATACTGCATTTCAAAAAACTATATTGCAAATTTCTATCAAAAGAGTTCATATCCCATGTAAAATAAATATTGCAAATAGTAGATTTATGTAATTCATTTTGCCTTTTATACTGTTGAAACAGCAATAATGAATTGCTATAGAAACTATTATTAATTGTTTATAGTAATACAGTGCTGTGTCATCTAGAATTGAGAATAACAATTATAAACTGAATTTGTTCAATATGCTATAATTAAGTAATGTCGAAATGTTAAGTGAATATACACCGAGTAGGACACTTCAAATTCAGACTCCTAAACAGAGCAACATTTGTCATTAGATGATCCATAAGATAACACAACAAATATTGAGTGTATTTTTTCTCAAACTAGTACAAAGACAAGTAGTAAAATAGCTGCATCTTAAATGATGGTCTTCCAAGCATCATGTTAAATACATGGTGCAAATGATAAGCACACACCTTATTAAACTAAGCTCAGGCATTCTTTACTGTTAATGCATAAAAAAATGGTCCTTAATGCTAAAACCCAACAAAACCCAACAAACATATCATATAAGTCTGATTAAAGGGAAACCTTCTGGATACATAGGTTAAGTACCCTAGAACCAAAGGGTCCATATAATTACTTGTTTCAAACACTTATGTTTTATTTATTTTTTTGGGTTATTGTCATTTGAATTCTAATAATAAAAAAATAAGAAAATTATGGGTTAAAATAGTCCATATTACAATTATTTGAAATACTAGATATATGTGTAACTCCATTTAATATTGGAGATTTTTATAGGAACATTATAAGATTTATTTATTTTTTATTACTTCTATATTAGCACTTTGGCACTAATTACATATTAATAATTAATGAGTATTAATATATACTATACAGTTTAATTGTGTATATTACACTTTAAATATTACAAAAAGGAAGAGAAAAAGGAAAGAAAAACAATTTTGGTGATTGGATTATATGTAACCAAAAAAATATGTATGTCTGTACAGTTCTCATTTTATAAATACTTTTTTCTCACTGTTTGATTATAGTAATTAAATAATGGTGATTTGTTATAAGCTCAATTATAAAAGATATGCAAATAATGGAGTTACTAATACCATTTTTCTCTAGTAGATTGAATATATTGCTCTTTACTGAATTTTATGATCATATAACAATGTTGAAGTGGAACGAAGGTGGAACGCATATAAGCCGCAGGTGGAACGTATGTGGAACGCAAGTGGAACGCGGAAGTGCGGTACAACCCATACTTCCGGTTCCGGTTATCCGAATGCGCCAATTTTGATTACAGCAATGCGAGAAAGATGGGAAACAGCTGAACAGCTCCCCCATGGAACCAGTCAAGTGATGGATACTGGACACCACCCACGGAACCACCAATGGACATAGGGATTAGCCCTATTTAAAGAGGACTCGGGAATGGGGGGAATAGGAGATGTTTTTTTACATGTCATGATTGTATATTGATTTTATTTTATATACGGTCCCTGATGAAGTTCTTCGCAGAACGAAACGTGTAGGACCATACCGTTTTTCCTTTTAATTATATTTTATATTGATGGTGATTATTCACCTTTTATCAATAAAAACACTTTTTTTCCTACCATTGCCCGTCTGGAGTCCTGAGCATTATTAAGGATTTTCATAAGGAGCCAGGGGATTACTAGCCCCCCATCTCAATCGGGGGAGGCACCCTATGAGCGATATATTCTACACAATTCTGTGAGTGCATCTATATACAGCGCATAAAAGTGTGTTAATTGTACTTCACTATTTTGTATATTTTTATGTTCTTTTTAGATTCATTTTCAGCCGTATCCTGAAGTTTTGTGTTGTTTGTGGTTATCTATATATGAAAAGGTCGTCTTCTTTGGGTAACGATCTTGGGAGGCTGCACTATAACATTTAAGTTAAGTATTTGTATATATGTCACTACGGTTACTATCTATAGTAGTGTTTATATTGTTTTGTACTATAAGTGCTACCTTGAATATACTCACAATTTATAAAAATTTAAAGGCATATCAACAAACTCTTGGACAGCACTCTGTAACGAATTCATCCACTTATGGTAATGTGTTTAATGGTATTTACCGTCCTGATAGGAATAGTTGTGCCCATCAACAGCCGTGCCCTGATACTTCATAAACCCAGCATGTATAGGGACACTGGTCGCTGTGCATCTATGCCACTTTACATCCCAATGACCACCCACGTTGAGGATGACTTTTCTGAGTCAAAGGCTGATTACAGCACCTAAGAACCTTAAGGGGGCAGGTCTTAGGTGTGATGGATATGTTATCTAGTAAGAACCAAAGTAGATTTCTCCTTGATAGAGTCATCCTTTGCAACAAGAAAAGCTTTTTTTTGCAATGCCCTGGTAGACTCACGTGCAGCAGGTAACTTTATTGACATGCATTTTGTTAAAAACCACTCTATACGTGTCAAGGAGAAACCTCCACCTCTGGTGGTTGAGGCTATATATGGGAGATCTCTCTCAACCACTGATTACCCATGAGACCTATCTGTATCAGTATAGGAGCATCTCAAAGAATTCATTACATTTCAGATAATTGCTTCCTATTCGTGTTCCATCATATTAGGATTCCCTTGGCTCATCAAGCACAACCCTCATATTGACTGGGCCAAAGGGGAAATACTCAAATGGGGTGCAGACTGTCAAGAGGGTTGTATGTCACCTATTACTAAAAGAGTGGGCATTGTTACTTTACCTACTATTACACCCAGTACGCCAGAAATACACATGCAGTATTGGAGGGTTAGGGAAGTGTTCAGTAAAAGTCAAACTGATGTTCTACCTCCACATAGATCATGTGATTGTTCCATTGATCTGTTGCCCAGGGCCATGCCTCCTAAAGGGGCGGTTTATGCTCTATTCCCACTAAAGAGTAAAATCATGGAGGATGCGTTAAGTAAGGGTCACAAATGCAAGTCATCATCCCCTGCTAGTGCAGGTTTCTTTTTTGTGTCTAAAAAGGATGGAGAATTAAGTCCTTGCATTGACTATAGGGCATTAAACAAAATCACCATAAAAAATTTGGCAGACTCCATGGTGCTAAGTTCTTTACCAAACTTGACCTCAGGAGTGCATACAATTTGGTCAGGATTAAGAATGATCACGAGTGGAAATAGGCATTTAGCACTAGAAATGGACACTATGAATATCTTGTTATGCCTTTCGGGTTATGTAATGCCCCGGCCATATTTCAGGACTTCATTATGATGTGTTAAAGGATTAGATTTACTCTTTTGCACTTGTATACCTTGGTAATATCCTTGTTTATTCCCCCTGACCTCCCGACTGATCATGATCATGTTAAACAAGTATTACAAACTTTACTCAAGAATTGTCTTTATTGTAAACTTGAGACATGTATGTTTGATCAACTTGAAGAACAGTTTTGGGGGTATAATATATCCGTCTCTGTTTTCCAGATGGATCCTCACAAACTAGAGGCTGTTCTACACAGGCTATTACTCAACAATTGCAATATATGGTCCAATTGTTGGGTAATGGATTGATACATCCTGATACTAGCAAGGCTTTCATACTGGAGGTTGATGCCTCCGAGACAGGGGTCGGGGCTGTTCTTTTCCAGAGAGAGTCAGGATACCCCTTTACATCCTTGTGGTTACTTCTCCAGAAAGTTGTCTCCAGCTGAGCGCAATTATGACATAGGTAACAAAGAACTATTGGCCATTATTTGGCGCTCAAGAAGTGGCGACATCTGTTGGAGGGTTCCAAGGAACCCCTGCTGATCATAACTGATCACAAAAACTGGTCTATACTGGTGATGCCAAATGTCTGTCTTCTAGACAAGCTAGATGGTCTCTATTCTTGTCCCGCTTTAACTTTATTATTACTTACAGGCCTGGTCCTAAAAATGTTAAAGCTGACGCCTTATCTAGACAATTTGATGAAGAGTCAGAACTAGAACAAGAGATGTCACCCATTGTTTCTCCTGAGTATATATCATAACATCCCCTGTCCTTTCCTTGTTATCACCATTGCTTTGTGCTATCATGGCGGCTCAGTCCCAGGCACCTAACGATAAACTTCTAGGTAAATTGTTTATTCAATTACATGACAGGAAAGAGGTGTTGAAAATATTCCACGACAATGTTACCGCTGGGCATCTGGGCATAAATAAGACTGTATCTGCTATTTCCAGATCATTTTTATGGGAGTCACTCAGAAGGGATATTAAGGATTATGTGGAAGCCTATTCTATTTATGCAGTCCCTAAGGTTCCACACACACTTCCGTATGGATTATTACATCCACTTCCCATACCCAGTGTTCCATGGTCTCATCTGTTTATGGATTTCATTGTGGACCTACCTAGTTCTAATGGTTATAAAACCATCCTTATGGTAGTTGACCGCTTTTCCAAAATGGCACATTTAATACCACTCAAAAAATTGCCATCTTCTCAGGATCTAGTCCTCATATTTACATGTGACATTGTTAGGCTTCATGGGATCCCTTAAAATATTGTGTCAGATAGGGGTTCCCAATTTGTGTCAATATTCTGGAGAGCATTCAATAAACAGTTGGGCATTAACTTGTCTTTTTCCTCTGCTTACCATCCCCAGACCAATGGTGCGGCTGAAAGGGCTAACCAATCACTTGAGCTGTGTTTACGTTGCTTTGTGAACAGTACTCAGTCTAACTGGGCTGATTTGTTGCCTTTGGCCGAATTTGCCAGGAATAAAGCTACCCATGATGCATCTGGGCACAGTCCTTTCATTGTCAATGCTACTATTCTCCCTGATGTGTTGTCTGACACAGCTATCCTTGCTCTGTATGATACTTGGACTAAGGTTCACTCCGCTCTTGAAAATGCGGCTGCTCGCTTTAAATTCCATGCAGATAAACGGTGGTGTGCTAACCCAGTCTACCAGGTTTGGTTGTCTTCTCACAACACTAGACTGAAAGTTCCTAGCATGAAATTTGCTCCTAGGTTTCATGGTCCTTACTGTGTCGTTAAGAGAATTAACCCTGTTTCTTATTCCTTGGCCCTTCATGCATCCTTGCGCATTCCTAATACGTTTCATGTATCTTTACTCAAACCGCTTATTTGCAATAAATATACAGTCCTGGTAGTTTCCCATCCTCCTTTGGTTGTTTCTGGTCAGGAGGAGTATGAGGTCTCCTCCATTATTAATTACAGGTTCTCTCGTGGTTCATTGCAGTACCTGGTTGTTTGGAAGGATATGGACCTGCAGACGGGATATGGACCTGCAGACCTGCTTCTGATATCCATGCTGGCCGTAAGGTTCGCTCTTTCCACGCCAAGTTTCCTCTCAAGCCGGGTCCCGCCCACACGGTGGGCTGTCTTCACGTGGGAGGTAATGTAACGAATTAATCCACTTATGGTAATGTTTTTAATTGTATTTACCATCCAGACAGGAATAGTTGTGCCCATCTACAGCCGTGTGCTCAGATACCTGATAAATCCAGCATGTCTAGGGACACCGGCCGTTGAGGGTCTATGCCACTTTATAGCCCCATGACCGACCACGTTGAGGATGATGTCGCCGTGCGCGTGACGTCACGTGCATGAATGTTTTGGGGTCAAAGGCCGATTACAGCAAATCACAATAACAGGAGGGTTATTTAAACTTATTTTTACATTCTCTCATTGCCTTGTTGTGGTTTCTACCTGATGGTAATCCGAGAGTGCATTCCTGATTTTGATATTTTGGTAATTGACTTTGGCTTTGTTCTGACTTCCCTGATATCTGGCATCCGTGACTTTTGGCTTTTTCTCATCGTTGAGTCTGATTCTGTAACCCTGACCTTGGCTAATATTCTGACTATTCTTGGATACATTAAGTTCGGCCATTCTAAGGTCCGGTTAGATGTTATCCTTAGTCCTAGGTGTGACACAATTCTGCGTGCTGGATCAATTAGTAATCCTGACACACTCTTCCTGTGATATCTTCTAAATATAGTTGCAAGAAAAAGTATGTGAACCCTTTGGAATGATATGGATTTCTGCACAAATTGGTCATAAAATGTGATCTGATAATCATCTAGGTCACAACAATAGACAATCACAGTCTGCTTAAACTAATAACACACAGAGAATTAAATGTTGCCATGTTTTTATTGAACACACCATGTAAACATTCACAGTGCAGGTGGGAAAAGTATGTGAACCCCTAGACTAATGACATCTCCAAGAGCTAATTGGAGTGAGATGTCAGCCAACTGGAGTCCAATCAATGAGATGAGATTGGAGGTGTTGGTTACAGCTGCCCTGCCCTATAAAAAACACACACCAGTTCTGGGTTTGCTTTTCACAAGAAGCATTGCCTGATGTGAATGATGCCTCGCACAAAAGAGCTCTCAGAAGATTAAGAAGATTAAACTATACGATTAAGAATAGTTGACTTGCATAAAGCTGGAAAGGGCTATAAAAGTATCTCCAAAAGCCTTGCTGTTCAAC